GTCGAGGATGAATAGGCATTACGACAAAGATGGGTGGGGGAGAGCAAACCAGGTGTAGGGCACCGTTTTTGCAAAGCCAAGAGACTCTCCTCCCCTACCTGACACTCTGGGCCAGCCACCGGTTGTACTGGCCCAAGCACGCACTCTGCACATTCCTTCTCTTTCATTCATCAAATATTTATTGAGCAACTACTAGGTAGGTGCCAAACCCTTTATTCTCTGCACCTTCACTTGGATGGTCACTGGGCATCTCAAACATAACTGGCCCCAAACTGAACACCGAAGACCTTCCATTTCTCAGGTAATGGCAACTCTCCATATGCTCAAGCCAAAACCTTGGAGTCCTCTTTGCCACCCCTTTCCCTCACTCCCCACATCCAGTCTTTTGGCAAAGCCTGTTGCTCTCTACCTTCAAAACCCACCTCTCATTACTCTCCCAGCAACCATCACATCTTGCCTAGATTATTGGTTGCAGCAACCTTGTCACCCATCGGCTTCCACCTGCATTTGTTCTCTCCACAGCGACCAGAGTACTCCTTTAAAACATAGCTCAGGTTGGGGCACCCGGGTGGCTCAGTAGGTTAAGCCTCCCATTCTTGATTTCAGAGGGTCGTGAGATGGAGCCCAGGGTTGGGCTTCTGCTGAGCATGAAGCCTGCTTGAGATTCTCTCTCTCCTTCTCCCTCTGCCTCCCCCCCCCACCCCGCCCCTGCTTGCTGGAAGGCTCTTTCTCCCTTGCTAAAAAAAATAAATAAAATTAAAAAATAAAACATAACTCAGATCACGCCTCACTCCAGACCCTGTGATGGCTGTTCATCCTAGTCTAGAGACTCACAGATTTACAAAGCCCCACCCACATATTCTGACCCCATCTCCTACCGCTCTCCCCCTCCTCCCTGCCTCCCTGCCACACGATCCTCCTTATAGTTCCTCAAACACACAACAGGTCTCTTCCCTCTGCCTGGTATGCTCTTCCTAGAGATTTTGGCATGACTGGTTCCCTTATTTCCTTACAGTATTTCTCAAAGGCCACCTTCTCAGTGAGGCCTACGCTGACCATCCTATTTGAAATTGCAACCTCGCTACTCTAGCAGTTCCCAAGCTCCCTGACCCTCCTATATTTTCCATACCACTTATTCCCTTCTAACACATTTATTACGGTTTCTATTATTAACTGAATAAAATTTAGTGGAAGAGACAGATAACAGGAAATAAAAGCATGAATATAGGGAAGTTTCTATAGTGGGTAGTGCTATGATGAAAATACAACGCAGGGACGTGATAGAGACTTGAAGGTAGGCTACTTTCCTTCGCCTGGTCAGGGACGGGACATTTGAGCTGAGACCTAATTGATGTGAAGGAGCCCTAAGACGTTAGAGCCGAGGGGTAGGGGCAAGAAGGAAGAACACTCTAGGCCGCAGGCAACTGGAAAGGCTAGAGCTCTGAGCTGGGAACCACCAAGTTCATGGGCAGATATTCCGACCTCACCGGCTGCCATGGGCCGTCGGAGCCCTAGCGTCCGGCGTGCGGTTGAGCACTCCTGCAAACTTCATTTACAGCCTACCAAACAGACCGACTCCAGGCAGAGCCTGGGGGCCGCGGGTGGGTGGCAGGCCGCTGGGAGTGGCGAAAGCAGAAAAGGATAACCCCCCAAAACAGAGATGCGAGAATTTCAGGGGCCGGGTGGAGTCGCCAGGAAGCTCGGCCGGGCCTCGCGGGCTGGATAGGAGCCCGCCCAGAGGAGGCGCCGGGCCGAAGCCGTCCCAGGCTTGGCTCTGTGGGAAAAGTGGGCCGGGCGGGATGAGGGGGCTGGAGAGGGGGAGAGAAGGACTCCGTGTTCTCCCGGCGGTGGGCTGGGCCCGAGGCCCGCGGACGGCCTGCGGTGGGGCCCTGGGTTCGAGGTCGCCCGCCGCTGACCAGCTCTGTCCGGGCCTCTCGGGCCTCAGTTTCCCTCCCGCGTGGATCCAGGGGCGGCTTCGCGGACCGCCCGGTGAGCCGCGGGAGCGGAGGGGAGGGGCGGGAGGGTAACTCGAGGCGCCCGGAAGGGGTCTCCCGGCGCCCGCGGCCACGTTCCGGCCCTGGCGGAGGCGCGGGGTCCGGAGCCGGGATCGCCCCGAGCCGCAGGCTCAGCCCATCCCGCGGGCCGCCCTCCTGGGCGTCGGCTCGCCCCGCGGCGCGGAGGTGAGCGCGGGCCCGGCGGGCTCTGGAAGAGGCGGCCCCGGGAAGGCGTGGCCCGCGGAGACGTGGCGGGGCGGCCCCACTGCGCGGACCCGGAGACTGAGGCGGCAGCCGCCGCTGTGCCCGGGGGCACCCGGTGAGGCGACCTTTGTTTTCGGGCGGTGGCGGGTCAGGGGCCCACGCCCCAGCCCGCCCAGCTCCCCTAACAAAAAGTATGTGCAGACACGCGGTGTACCGGCCCCCCGCGGGCTGTGCGGTCCGTGTCCCGCACCCCTGGGAGGGGTGGGGGCCGCGCCCGCCCCCAGGCTCGCGACCCGGGCGGGGGCACTGCTCCTTCGGGCCCGGAGCCCCTGTCCGCGCCCGGGTGCCGGGAAGACAGGGGTGAGGCCGACGCCAGGGCGGAACTCAGTGAGCCCCCCCGCCTCCCGCGACCAGCCACTGGCATGGCCCCGCCCCCGTGGGCCCCGGCGGGTTTCTCTCCATAGACCTTATCGTGACCGGTCCTTACGTTACTTCTTTCTTAATTTTCCCATTCATTTATTATTTATCTTTGTCTGCTCACAGTGTGTCTCCCCGCTGGAATGTAGGCTCCAGGAGGGACGGATTGCTTTGTCCATTGTTGTATTCTTGGTTATTTCAATACTTTCTGAGGTCCTCTTCCTGATGGGCTGGATATTGGAGGTTACACAGGCAGCCAAGCTGAGTCCCTCCCGAGAGGAGTCCTGCCCTAGACATTCGGGGGGCTGGGGAGAGTGCTGTCAACACAAAGGGCATCACTGTGGGGGGAAGGAAAGGAAAACAGACGTGAGGGGCTGCTGGTTGGGTCAGCTTGTGATCAGGAGCACCAGCGATCAGGGCAGGCCTCGCAGATTAAATGACTTTGGCCCACAAATAACCCGTGGGACGTGCTAAAAGGGAAAAGCAGTGGGACGCCTGGGTGGCTTAGTCGGTTAAGCAGCTGCCTTCAGCCAGGGTCATGATCCCAGGGCCCTGGGATCGAGTCCCACATGGGGCTCCTTGCTCAACAGGGAGCCTGCTTCTCCCTCTCTCTCCCTCTGCTTGTGCTCTGTCAAATAAATAAAAATCTTTAAAAAAAATAATAAAATAAAAGGGAAAAGCAGGAAGCTGAGGACACTTAACTCTGACCTTGCCTTTTGGGGCATCGGGAACTGAGCTCAGCAAAGTGATTGTCAGTTGCTCTTAAGGGCTTGGTCTGGGTGGGCGGGTGGGTAGGGAGATTATCAGGGTGTCAGGGGAGGCTTCCTGGAGGAGGAAGTGGTTTAACTGGGCCTCTAAAACTGAGTAGGAGTTCTCATCCTTTAAGATGCAGTGACGGGGTTTGACAATTGTTTTGCAGGTGCCCTAGGAACCACAAAGTCAAAGGGCTAAGCCGAGTGGTTGGACAAGAGGCCCTCGCCCTCTTGCTGTGAATCTGCTGGTAAGTGGGTCCCTGCCGAGACTCGCCCCCAGAAGGTGTGAGGGAATCAGAGCAGACCAAGCTCTGCTTCTCACTGGTCATGCAGTCTTGGGCAGTTCATCTTCGCTGATCTGGGCCTCCGTTTTTCACGAATCAGGACAGTTGGATCAGGTGCCACTTATGATCCGTGGGGTACGCACATTCAGTGGTTGGGGTTGGTCCTACCCAGCCGTGCCCTGTGTTCGTACCACACTCTTGTTTGTTTAGCGATCCCCATCTAAGCGCCCCCAGTGGAGGAATGGGGCCGGCCTGCCCCACACTGCCTTCATCTGGCCCCGAAGGCTACAGATTCTTAACTAAAGGATAACTGTGCCATTAACGAAGAAGAGAGAGGCTGGCAGGGGCCCAGGACGGTCACAGAAACCTTGGAGGTTTGGCCTCAGGGTTGGAGCTAAGGGTCCCCTGGATTAAGGGATGGTTTAAGCACAATGATTTCTATGGGTTCGGGGTCCATTTCGGCTCAGCTGATGCTTTTTTCTTTGGATGTTAAAAAGCTGTATCAAACCCCTCCATTCCTTCTGGTCTGGGACAGTCACATTATCCTTCTCTCTGAGTCCTCTGCTGTCCAGTTTTTTGCATGCCCCTCACCCTTTGAGAGGAAAGGCAGGGACACCAACCCATTTCACAGATGAGGACACTGAGAGCTCGGGGCACAAAGCAAGTGAGTAGAGGCCTCAGGGCAGGGGCCCAGGTCTCCTCCAGAGCCAGCATTCTTTTCCCAACAGGGGCAGAGAGGCTGCTTTCTTCTCTGACCTGTGGCCACCCGTCTCCCCTCACAGTTCTTATGGGAGCCATGAAGCTGAACGAGAGGAGTGTGGCCCACTATGCACTAAGCGACTCCCCGGCCGACCATACGGGCTTTCTGCGCACTTGGGGCGGGCCAGGGGCTCCACCGACCCCCAGTGGCACTGGCCGAAGGTGCTGGTTTGTCCTCAAAGGCAACCTGCTCTTCTCCTTTGAGAGTCGTGAGAGCCGGGCCCCGCTGAGCCTGGTGGTGCTGGAGGGCTGCACAGTGGAGCTGGCCGAGGCTCCCGTGTCTGAGGAGTTCGCCTTCGCCATCCGCTTCGACGCCCCTGGTGTGCGCCCACACCTGCTCGCGGCCGATGGGCCCGCGGCGCAGGAGGCCTGGGTGAAGGCCCTGTCCAGGGCGAGCTTTGGCTACATGCGCCTGGTGGTGCGCGAGTTGGAGAGCCAACTGCGTGATGCCCGCCACAGCCTGGCCTTGCAGCGCCACTCATCCTGGAAGGCCACTGGTGGCCACTGTAAGCCCCAGGCTCCTGACCGCCGGTCTCCGGGCCTGGAAAACGGTCACTCCCCCTCCAAGGATTGCAGCCCCATGGACTTGGTTGAAGAAAGGTGCAGCAGGCCAGCAGGGCGGGGCTTGGCCGAGTGGCAGGGCCCTGCCAGCCACTTCCTGGGCAGGAGGCAGAGCCCCTCATGCCCTGAGACCTCCTACTTCTCTACCCTGCACAACTGGTATGGCGAGGAGATCATGGAGCTGAGGCAGAGGTGGCTGCAGAGGGTCTGGGGGAGCCAGCCAGAACGTGAGAAGCAGGATGGGCCCTGAGCCTCAGCCTTTCGGGTTCTGCCCTTATCTTGCTGGTCAGGACTCCAGGGCCAGTGCTTTTTCAGGAATTACAGGTTTATTCGGTTTAAAGTTGCTTTTTTTGAGAGGGTTCTTTCCTTCCTGCTTTTTAGACCTTCTCCAGGTTCCAGATCCACCCCCGTGCCTGGAGGGGACTGAGGAATCATTCCTTCCAGCCCCTTTATTTCCGGAGGCCCAGAGAGGAGAGGGGGCTTGCTTAGCAGCCCCAGAGCCAGACCCAAGTCTCCCACCGCTGTGCTGGACTGCCCCTCGCTCAGGGGATACTAAGGAACGGGAGGAAGTGGGGACTATTACGTGGCCACAGACTGCCGTGCGTTTTTACCTACACACCAGACTACAAGCACAACTTCCTACACCGGGAGTCTTGTGTACATTTAAATACCAGTTGGCTGAAGTGTTGGCTCGAGGGACTGACATCATCCGAGAAAGTAGATTTATTGTCCCGGGGGTTTCTGGGGCCCAGCTCTTCCTGAGTGGTGGGGCATAGGACCCCACTCTGCAGTTTGGGTGGGGCCCTTGGAGGGAGAGGGCCTTCAGCCAGCAGAGGGATTGATTCTGCTCAGAAAGTGTTGGGGCCTCCAGCTTCTCTCCTTCGCTGCCCTGTCTATAGATGGTGCTGGTCATTGCCCCAGGAGGGGCTGGTGGCAGAAATCCTTCCTGTATTCTGTCCTTAGAAGCTAGCTCCTGGAGCTGCCACTTGGGAAGCTAAAGGAGTTGGAAGGCAATGGGGCTCTTTGGGGAAGCCAGGTTGTTATTTTGGTTCTCAGTCACGGTCATTCTAGGAGCTTGGACACGGGATTCCCAGCACCGTGTGATAAACTCTTCTCTCCTAACTGTACTCCCAACGAGCCGTTCCTGATCCTGAACCTGGCCTGGGAACTCATTCACTGTCCTGCTTGTCAGCCAGTGCTTATCTGCCAAGACCCTCTCATTGCTACTCTCAGCAGCAGTGGTGCCAAGTGTTTTCTTTATTGATCGTTTAGGGAGGCAAAGTGGCTGGATGGAGAGAGCCAGCAGCCAGACTAGCCTGAGCCCTGGGGGTGTGGCAGCAGCGGCTGGATGGAAGATGCAGAGTCTGGTCCAGACATCCCCCCTCTGCCTGCACAAAATCTGCCCCTTCTTAGCCTCTCCAGCCCTTATTAGGACCTTGGGTACACTGCCCAGGGCCCCACTAGGTCTAGAAGCTTCGACTCAGCCTCCTAAGTCCAGGACGCCGAGAGGCCACCAGGGTCCGGCGCCCATTCCGGCGGGCTTGTTTCCCAGCCCCATGCACGAGCCCACAGCCCACTGCGCCTTGTTTTATACACAGATACTACAGGCTTTTGTTATCGTTTTTTTACGGTTACAATGTTTTTTTTATATGATTAAAACACTAAGTTTTTATTACTCACTTTGGTTCCTCGTTTATTTCAACAATCACTTGACCAATTTTGGCAAAAGCCCCCACCTCCCCCCTTCATTTGCCTATATATAACGCATACCTTGGCAAGAAATAAAATTACAAAATCATGGGGCGCCTGGGTGGCTCAGTCGTTAAGCG